GTTTTTTTTTGGCATACCTTGATCCTACCGGTTTTGGAAAACACACCCAGGTAATGTAATACCTTTTTCTAGCAAATTTTTGAAGTATTTATGTTGTTGTGACGTGTTTTTAAGATAGTGTAAACACCATTCCAGAGCAATAGTATTTAATATATAAAAGTCCGTCGAAATTAATTATAGATTGCCGATCATTTTGTACCGTTGAGTGGCGGACCGGCAATTAATCGTAAAATATTGTAAATTTATTTATATATATAGTAGTAATAGTACAATACAAAATACATTCATTATTTAACTATTGATATTTCTCAGTAATGTAAATTGTCAAATGTTTAAAACTCTTGTTATAATTGGATTGCCACAGATTTTTAAGCGATCAATGTACTAAATTTCTTTGACATAGCACCCCTGGTGACACAACCATAACAAGATGAGGTTTCAAATAAAAATAAACACAAAAATTAAAAGATCCAATATTCTAAAAACCTGACCGAAGCTATAAAATGAAAAGAGAAAATTAAAAAAAAAAATAAAAAAAATAAAATAAAAAAATGTAAGTTTTATTCAAAACTTACCGATTCATTTCAAGACGCTAATCTACAGCAACACTGAAGCCAAGTGGCGTCCAATGTTGAGAAATCTAACTAGAAGTCCAACGCTGAAAGAACTGTTGGATGCCTATTAAAAAAAAAAAAAATTAAAAAAAACACTAAACAAAAAAATACAATTGGGTTTTTTAATAGAAAAATAAAAAAAAGATTCATACCTTACAAATCTTTGGGGGTTTCTGTTCTTCGGAAGCCCACCCGACCTATAAAAAAAATACAAGAACGGTTAGTAAACCGTTCGTAATAATAAAAAATAAAAAAAAGAAAAGATTCGTACTGTACTTACGAATCTTTGGGTTTTCTGTTCTTTGGAAGCCCACCGACCTATAAAAAAAAATACAAGAACAGTTAGTAAACCGTTCGTAATAATAAAAAATAAAAAAAATAAAAGATTCGTACCTTACGAATCTTTGGGTTTTCTGTTTTTTGGAAGCCCACCCGAACCTATAAAAGAAAAAAGAAAGAACGGTTAGCAAACCATTCTAAAATAACAATAAAAAAAACAAAAACTAGGATTCGTACTCATACTTACGAATCTTAGTTCTCTTATTTGTCCGAAGCCCACCCAAACCTATAAAAAAAAGAAAGAAACGATTAGTAAACCGTTTCAAAATAATAATAAAAAAAACAAAAACCAAGATTCGTACTCGTACTTATGAATCTTGGTTCCCCCTTTTGTCAGCAGACACCCGAACGGCCGAACCTATAAAAAAATGAAAAGAACGGTTATTAGTAACCGTTCATAATATTATTTTTTAAAACAAAGAAAAAAAACAAACCAAGATTCGTATATACTTACGAATCTTGGTTCTTTTCCATTCTTCGGAACCAGAAAGCCCGCTTGAAACCTAAAAAAAGTAAAGAACGGTTATTAGTATAAACTGTTCATAATATTTTTTTAAAAAAATAAAAAATAAATAAACCAAGATTCGTACTTATCTTACGAATCTTGGTTTTCCGTTCTTCAGAACTCGGAAGCCCACCCGCTGACCTAAAAAAAGAAAGGAAAATGAAACGTTAATCATGTTTCCAATGTTTTTAACGTTTCGTTAAAAAAAAACAAAAAAAAAATAATAATATGAAACGTTAAAAAATATTTCGTTAAGAAATGAAATAAAAAAAAAATCGGAATGTTAGTCAACGTTCTGATTAAAAAAAATGAAAAAAAAATAATTATACAAAACATTAAAAAACGTTTCGTTAAAAAAAGAAAAAAAGAAAAAAATTGGAACGTTAGTCAATGTTCCGATTAAAAAAATTAAAAAAGAATATTACAAAACATTAAAAAACGTTTCATTAAAGAATGAAAAAATAAACAAAATTGGAACGTTAGTCAACGTTCCGATTAAAAAAAACGAAAAAAAATTAATATTACGAAACGTTAAAAACATTTCGTTAAAAAAATGGAATTAAAAAATAATCGGAACGTTAGCCAACGTTCCGATTAAAAAAAAAGAAAAAAAAAATAATATTAAAATGTTTTTAACGTTTCGTTAAGAAAATAAAATAAAAAAATAATCGGAACGTTTGCCAACGTTCCGATTAAAAAATTTAAAAAAATATTTTAAAATGTTATTTAACGTTTCGTTAAAAAAATGAAATAAAAAAATAATCAGAACGTTAGCCAACGTTCTGATTAAAGAAAAAGAAAAAAAAATAATATTGAAATGTTTTTAATGTTTCGTTAAGAAAATAAAATAAAATAAATAATCAGAACGTTAGCCAACGTTCCGATTAAAGAAATTAAAAAAAAAATAATAATTGAAACGTTTTTTAACGTTTCGTTATGAAAATGAAATAAAAAAAATAATCAGAACGTTAGCCAATGTTCTGATTAAAAAATTTAAAAAAAAATATTTCGAAACGTTAAAAACGTTTCGTTAAAAAATGAAAATTATAGTTTCGCAACGTTTTGTTGTGAAACTCACCAAAAGTTTGTAAAAAAAACTCATATCTCCGGAATTAATAACCTTAAACTACGGAATTTATTAACTTATTTACATTTTCCGTGAATAGTTCTGTGAAGGCTCCTTTTTACAGAGTTTTTAGAAATACCGGATAAAACTTTTTATAGTAGGGATGAAAGGAAAGGGGAGAAAGAGGAGAATGAAAAGGAAAAGAACGAAACGAAAGGGAAGGGGAGAACGAAGAGGAGAACGAAGGGGTAATGGAAAAATGAAAGGAAAGGAAAAACGAAAGAGGAAAAAGCAAAAAAAAAATTAAGCTTTGCTAAAAAAAGCTTAATTTTTTTTTGCTATACCGCAGTCCGCAGCGGTAATTAGTCCAGTATTACGTGATAAACGTGATATAGAGTATGCCGAAATAAAATTTTTTTAAATATTAATTATAATATGTGTATATATATACTTAAATAAATAGTACAGTGGTTAGATCGTGAGATAATCAATAGTATGAGGTATTCAGTTCGGTTCCTAAGGTAAGTAAAATAATAATTTAATTAAAATTGTTATATATATATATTATGTGTTAATATACAGCGCGTTGAACAATAATGCCGCATAATGTGTTGAACTACACATTAGAGTTGAACGATGCATATATTAACATTATGCGTTGGTATACTCCAGTATACGGATGTTGATTAATATTGTAAAACGTGTTGAACAACTAGCTGGTATTGATCAACGCGTATACTGGTGTGAATCAACACTTTTCAAACTTGCTGATGAAGCAATAATAAATCTCACATAGGAAAAATTTTTATATGTTGGTTAAGCAAACTCAAAACCTACCTTTATATATATTGTTCAGGGTCCTAATATAATCTTTATTATATTTCCTATTAAGTTTTATTACTGCTTCACATATGCAAATAACTTTTTTAGCATGTATAACTTTAGCAATATATGGATGTTTTTGTAATCATTGTTTAGTATATTTTCAGTCAACCATAATGTATATGTCTATCTAAAACTTGGAAATATATATATATATATATATATATATATATGTTGTGCGTCAAGTGTTGATTTGCGTCAGATGCAGCCGACGTGCGTCAGAAGTAGATTGATACCTGACGCGCGTCACTTGTGATATAAAATATGCAAAATTAAGTTATAATTAAATTAAAATTTTCAAACTTAAACTAAATTTCTTTATTAAATAAGTTTATTAATCTTGTTAAAAAATATGTAACCCTGTAATATTAAATTGATTAGACTCAGTTTCATGGAAAACACTTCATTCAAAATATTAATAAATTACAAGTTTTTTCAAGTAAATTTACAATATTTAATTAAACATAGATTAAATAGCCATAAAATTTCACAATATGTGTAATTTATTGTAACAAACAAATTTACTTACGTAATAAAAAATAATTTTATTAGTAAAAAAAAATTTTTTTACTATAGGAGAACTTTATTGTGTAATTCAAGTGACGCGCGTCAAGTATCAATTTACATCTGACGCACGTCAGCTGCATCTAACGCAAATTGACACTTGACGTACAACATATATGTATAAAGATAGTTTTGATAAAGATATAAACTGTATGTAGGTATAAAAAAACAAAAAATTAAATACATAAAAAGAAAAAAAAAATTCCAGAAAATTAAAAATTGTATATACAAAAATTAAGATTACTAAATTAGGGATTTTGCTATACAAACTCATATCTGTTACACATTTGAAAACATAACTATATTAAAAATTTTTTTTTGGCTAAGTTAAATAAAATATAACCTAAAAAATTTTTTTATATGATGGCTAAGCAAATATTTTTGTTACCTAGTATATATGTATTGTTTAGGATTTTAGCTAGTTGATATTTTAATATTTGCAGGTAAATTTCCATGTTAACATTCCAAATTTTAGTATATTTTTAAAACATAACAATAGTTTTCTTTTTTTTAAATATTAATTTTGAAGATAAATTATATAGCAGTATAAGGTTTAAGGGATAAATCGTCACTCATTAGGATAAAATGATCGGCAATCTATAATTAATTTTACGGGCTTTGTATTAATAAAAAAACCGTTTTTTGGAATGTTCCGTTCTTTATATTAAAATTTTTCTAATGAGTAAAAAAAAACAGTATACAATAACTCTTCTAGCCAAGGGAGATATTATACAAGACTTACATTATAGTATTCATGCACGATATTGGTGAGAACCACGCAAATTTGACCAAACTAGCAAAACTAGCGTTAAGTCTAATCAAATCTGCATTAAAGCAATACCCTATCGAATGTTTATGTCTATTAATTGCTGTTTAAATGATGAGAACTTTGCAATAACAATTCTTGATAATAAACAAACACACAAGCCAAGTTTTCGTTGTCTTTGTAATGGCAAAGATTCTGGAATTCAACAATCGGCTTCTGCAGCTATTAATAACACGTATAAACAAGTTTTTAGAAAGAATAAGACAGAGTATTCGGGAATGGTTGTTATGGGATTTGATGATGAAATAATTATTAATGAATTATTGTCTGATATTTTATTTATTCCAATTTTTATTCGTATAAATCGAATTTTAATTGTGGTTAGTCAAATTGGTATTTCATCTCATAAAGGTTGTTACGGTGCTGGTCCAGGATTTCTTTCTACACTTATAACAAAATATAAGGGCAAACAATCACTTTTTGTACAATCTATAGAAGATAATTGTAATTTAGATGTTTATGATGGCGATATTAATCAATACCATAACAAAGGAATTACTCCTGACGAAATTTGGAAGTCTATTAATATTCTTAACAAGTTTGACGGGACAGCTTTATTTGGAATTACCAATTCATATGTTCAACAAGAATTGGACAAGTTAAGAAATAATTCAATCACATGTACGAGCAATGATTGGAATGATATTGATAAGTTGAATATTATATTTAGACAACAAATAAAAACTCGTAAAATTGCCAGTCCATTTTCAGATTGGTCAAAATTATTTAAGAATTGGTACGAACAAAATAATACAATAATTCAATTTCCTAATATTTTATTTCAAATCTATCCAGCTAATTATCAGTTTCAAGAAAAAGAATTAGGTGCATGGCGAGCAATGTTTCGTGCCTCTGGTTGTATTAATATTACTCCATTTACAAAAAAACAACATATGATCGAATTTTGGACAAAAGCACCAGATCCCTGTCTCTTATACACATCTAGATGTGTATAAGAGACAGTTCTATTGCANATGATTCTATTAATGTTTTATTAAATCGTTCTACTAATCTATTTGTTTTAGGAGGACCCCGGATATCTAATATAAAGGCTGTCTCTTATACACATCTAGATGTGTATAAGAGACAGCCCGACGACAGAGGAATTGATGGAAAAATAAGAATTCTTTCAATTATTGCTGAAAATTTTACATATAAAAAACTCAAAGAAAAGCTTAAGGTAAAACCTTTTTACCATCAATTTCCAATTTCTTCTTCGTCACCAACCTTCAATTCTTTTTCGTCACAAATCTTCAATTTCTTCTTCGTCACCAACCTTCAATTCTTCTTCGTCACCAATCTCCAATTTCTTCTTCGTCACCAATTCTTCTTTGTCACGTCACCAATCTCCAAATTTTCTTTGTCACCAATCTCCAATTTCTTCATCATCACCAATCACTAATTTTTCTTTGTCATCAATCCCAATTCTTTATCATTGATTTTCAATTCTTTATTTTCATCAGGTAGGAAATGATATAGTCAATTTTGCACGAAAACACGCAAGACTATATGGTCCAGGAGTACCAACCTTAGTAAAAACAAAAAGAACTGTTAAACGTATGTCAGAAGTTAAAGAAAAACAATTTTTAATGTTTTTTCAAGATCGAAGTATAGTTACACAAAGTTCTTACCGGGTTGATAAAAATGGATTACCAATATTATATATGCGTGATCAAAAAATTAAATTGTGGAAAAAATTTGAAGAAACTTTTCCTAATGGAATGAAAAAAACATCATTTATGGGTAGATTAGCAAACTGCAGTAATATTAAATATCGAGATGATATAGGTGGACTTTGTCTTACCTGTAATGATTATGGCTATATTCCATTTGAATTATACTTGTAGCTGAAACCTTTTCACGTAATTTTCGGCCACATTTTTAAATCAAAATTAAGTTAAAAAATGATAAAAATTAATCTCCACATCCAGCCGAAACTATAATATAAAGTCTTTAAAGTTTCGGATGGATTTCTGGATAGTTTTTAATAATTTATTATAATTAAATTACTGAAAGGCCGAAACCTTGTCCAGCTTCATGGAGGTTTCGGCTACATGTATAATTTGAATCCTTAATAGCTATTGCACGCAATACATTTTTATAAAAGGATCAACTAGTAAGTAAAAAAATATTCTTTGATAAATATATTATTGTAATAAAATACATAATAATCGTAATTTACCTATTTATCACATCATTAGAATAGTGTATTACAAAAAATTGATGCTTTGAAACGTCATCTGCGTTGTGGTTATGAAAGAGAATTAGTGGTTAATGCTAATGGTACAACAAAACATGATTCTTGTATTTCTCATTGTTTGCCATATGCTTTTGGAAATTGTCTTGAAAATCATAACTCACGATGCTCAGAATGTGACCAATTTTTTGAATTTTTTGAATTCATGCATCTACATATAAAAGAAGATCAAATAGCTACTTTAGAAGAAACTAAAGAACACTTACAGTATTATTTGGCCCATTCAACACAAAAGATATATTTGAATTCTCAATTTAAAGCTACTTTGGCAAGTCTTGATGAAGATGGTGCATTATTTGTTGCTGATTACAAGATGAGAATTTTGCCAAGATCTGCTCGAGAAACAAAGGCAGAGTTTTTTGGTAAAAGAGGATGGACCCTTCATACGATCTTAATGTTTAGAAAAAAAGAAAATTGTGAGGAATTAGAGATAAGAGCTTATGATCACTGGTCAACTGATACTAAGCAAAATGCTTGGTTTACCGCCTCTTCATTTGAAGCTGTTTTTGAAACAATAAAACATAAACCAAAATGGATTAGAATAATGTCAGACAATGGAGCACATTATCATTCATCAGAACTTATGGCTATAATTGCACATTGAAATGAATGGTACCAAATTGAAGTTCGTGATTGGCAGTTTCTTGAACCAGGCGAAGCTAAAACAACTATTGATTCCCATCATGCTGCAGTAAGTATTCTATTGCTTATTGCTGTGTAATAAATTACACATTAAAATCATATTTACCTTTAGATTGCCCATTCAATTAGAAGATATGTTCGAATTGGATATGATGTTCGTGAAGGAAAAGATATAGTGGAAGCGGCTAAACATTTATCTAGTAAATCATTGGCAAATTTAGAACCAGATAGAGATCAATTGGGATCAAATGTCAAAAAGATAAAGGGCATTTCAAACTTGTTTTATTGGAAATGGCCAGTTTCTGGTGAAATGATAGGTTATATATGTGCACGATCACTCCCACATTTTGGACAATGAAACAATTTCACTCCTTCTACAATTGCCAAACTTTGCACCAAACAAATTGTTCGTCCCCATCCAAAAATTTCTGAAAAAACTGAACATGAATAAGCTTGGACAATTCCAATTCCAACTCTGCCAGGTGATCAATTGTAAAAAATATTTTTTTTAGGTTAGTTAAGAGCATTTGGCTAATGCATTCTATAGATACAGATACGGTTGATCCTATTGTACCAGAATTTATGGATAATAATAATGAAAATGATGAATTAGAAGATGCAAAGTAAATAATGTGAAGCTTAAAAAAAATATAATTCAAATTAATTTCTTACATGTTTTGTATTGAATTAGTTCTATTGACGTAAAATTTCAATTTACTATGGGATGGGCGCTAAAAAGCAATCAAAAATTTGGAGGAAAAGGGAAAGGAAAAAGGATGAAAAAGAAAGTAAAGGAGTTGTTAAAAAGTTTTTTCTTGAATAGAAATCTCAACCAAAAAGATAAGATGTTAGCAAAGGATATGTATAATGAATTGATGAAATTTGTTGAATCAGGAGAATTAGAAGCTGAAGATGTACCTAAGATAACAACAATACAAAATTGGATTTCAACTTATGCACGAACCTTCAAAGAACAAGCTACAGAAAACATGGTAAAAGATATTCGTGATGAGAGTTCTTTATAATAAGCAGAAATGTAAATTGTATATTAGAACGAAATACAAGAAATTATACGCAAAAACTAATAAATAAAACTAAATAAAGGCTTTAAAACCAAATAAAAACCAAATACAATTCGGTTGTGGTTAAAATTATTCAAAAATATTTCACTCAATATTTGAATCGGCTGGAAATTTGCGGTCGGAATGTCATGTTCCTCCATAGTAAAGTCGATGACGATGAACTTTAGAGATTTCAAACTTTGCAAGTGACTTGGCTAGGATTGACACTATTTATTGCCGTATTCAAAATTTTCATTAAATATCACGTGAGAAGACATCGATCTAACAAAAATCGGGTTTTAGCCATTTTCGGCAATGATTTGCGTAAACCGTTATTATTAAATTTCACCTATTGGGTACCGAACTGTCACTTAAATTAAAATTTTGATTTTATTTCAATTTATCAGGTTTTAAATTTTGGTATAATTTTAGTTTTAAAAAAAGCTACCTTAAATTATACATTATAATGAAAGCAAGTTTTATTACTATATTATTATTTCTACTATTACTTATTTATATTGGCTATATTAGTATTTAAATAGTTTAAAGTTATTTTTATAAATGTATTTTTGTTAATTTTGAATAAACCATAAAAAAAATTATCTGATTATTGTATATTGTAAAAAATCATTTCAAGAAAAATTTTTTTGGGCAAAAAAAAATTGACACATTTTTTACAGTATTATTTAAACTTATTTCTTTTAATTAATCTGTATAAATTTCTTTTTTTTTAAAAAAAAATATTAACATTTGCATATTTTTAATAAATAAATAGAATTAGTTTATCCATGATTTTTAGTAAGTATTATTAGTAAATTATTGAATTAAATCTTACTTTTGATGATAGTTTTATAAATGCATTTATAATATTCCAACTTTAAGAACTGCTGATCTTTAATTAGAATAAAATTATTTGAAGACAAAAGTAAAAATAAAAAAATAATGTTTATAATATTTTTGAAAGTAAAAATGAAGTGACGTTTTTTATTTGAAGCTAGTTATTGAGTACTTTTGTAGATAGATGAAATTTAAACATGCAATATTTTTCCATTTCGTTTTAATGCCATTATCTTGTAATTCCCAACTTGCCTTAATTGTCTGATTCTTTTTTCGTTAAAGTAGAATCCAAAACATCAAAAAAAAAAAAAATTGCAAATAGATCGAATAATAAAATTCCACCAATTAAAGGGTTGTAAAACTTTTTTTTTTTTGTTTTATTTTAAAGTATGTATATATATTTATATACATATATAATAAAACAAGTTACATGATAATAATTAATAACATAGTGTGTATTCAAAGCAATTATATATATATGTTGGTGTGTGTATACATAAATTTCTAAAGTAATAAGAAAATGGAAAAAAGCTCACAAAAAAAAATTTTTTAGTAAAAGAAATTTATTCTGCTTTTTGTCCTTGCTTTTTCTTTGATTCTTTCTCTCTTTTCCACTCATCAATAGCTAATTGAACACTCTTATCTACCCTTTTCTGAAGACCAGAACGATATCCAATACTGAATAATATTTCCAACCAAATAAATAATGGCGCAAGAAGAATAGCTATTTTTATAACGAAATATATAATTTAGATGAATAAATCATTCTATAAGAAAAATCTATGAAGTGTAAATTAACGCGTACCTTGAGATAAATTATCTTTCAAAGCTGGACTTCTCTTTTCAGCAAATCCATGACCAATAAATTGCATAATCCATGAAGAAACTTGAACGATTCCAGCAAGAGTGTTATGATCAGAATAATCTGTGGCAAAATTAGTGGCATTATATGCCATATACAAAAGTATTGGAGCATAAAGTGCCTATATATAAACACAAAAAAAAATTTTTTTTGATTAATTGATATATTTAATAAAATCGAATCATGTTAAAATAAAAAAAAAAGACTTTTTGAAAAATATTCTTTTTTTTTTTAAAAAAAAAATTATTTTTCCCATAAAACTAAATATATTCTTACGTTGATTCTCATCAAGAAATCATTTTTTTTAAAAAGTATTTATTATTTATTAATTACAAAAAATTGTATATATATATTTTAATATATAAACGATCTACTCACCCCAGCTACAGGTTCTAATAATATGTAATAACTAATATAAAAGAGTACTGAAAATAGTGATAGGTTTGGTACAAATGGGGTAAGTCTCCATAAAGAATCTTCTTCATAAGAAAGTAATGGTCCCGTGTTTGCAGCCCATACTAAAGCACTCCAAAAAATGAGAGGAACACAAACTATATAAAGACAAAGTTTAAGGTTAATGTATACAATAAAACCTTTACATAAAATAAAAGAAAAAAAAAAATAAATTACCAATATGAATCAAAACATTAACCTTATGCCTATGATATTGTGCATAAAACACAAGTTGTTCTTCTAGGTTAAGCAAGCCCATGTTTTTTTTGAAATTTAAAAAAGAACAGTGAAAGAAGTTTCCGATAAAAGCTTAAACAGTATTTTGAAATCTAAATGCTACATGAATGAAAATAATTTGTAAAAGGGCGGTTTATGGTATTATTTAAATCTGGACTTCTGGAAGATTTTCCCGTGACAGAAAAAAAGTCACGAACTGTAACCGTGCAACGATATATTTCTTTAATTGGTGTTTTGTTTTCATCGTTAGTCATCTTCATATGAATTTGTTAGTTTAATTAAGGAATTTGACCTGCAATATAAATTGATGATCGACACCCATAAATTCAATTCTTCAACTACAAAAATATATAATCATGCTTGATCCTAAAATTGAAATCAAGAAACTTCCTCTTTCCGAAAATCTTTTGCGTTATTACCAGGAGAGATGCGGTAATTCTACACTTTGTTCAATTAATTTAAATGTTCAAAACATTAGTTCGCGTTTTGATACAAATTAAAACTTTTAGAGACAGCAGAACAAGAATATAAGGACGCGATTGACGCGTTTGACAAATGTAAAATAGCTCATGAAGAGCATTATAAACTGGCGTGGGATCTTCAGCAACGTTTGCAAGAGATTGCGGATTTACAAAAAGACCTTAACGACACGCAATTATTCTTAACAGAAGAACGAAAACGTTTCATGAAAGTAGTTGCCGAAAATGACGAATTAAGAGGTGTGAAATGCGAAAATTGGACGCGTTATATTGAGGATTCTAAAAATTTGCATTCCCATTTATTTTAATTGAATAGTCCAGGAATTACAAGATCGTAGGAAAATTCATTATTTACTATCAATTACTGGACCATTAAAACAGGATGATCATTCAATAAGTTCGAAAGAATCTCAAGTATATTACTGTCACATTTATAGTATATTATGCTTGTAGGTATATATTTTTTTATAATACTATAGTCATTTAGGATTCTAGGGTAAAAGATCCACGGGACAATGAGATAGAATCGTTAAAACTGATGGTGAAATCGTTGCAGTCCCAACTTGAAGAACAGGTTTGTTTTAATGGCAGATTTGTATTTGTTACAGTTTATTTTATATTTAACTGATATATTTTTGATTTCCAAGAGGTATGGGTATGATGAAATTGTAGAAAATTTAAAGTTGAATTATCAGGCTTGTATAGAGGAAGAAACTAGACGGCGTCAGCGGGATGCTGACAAAATACAAGAATTGACAAATAAAATTCAACGAATGGAAAATGTATTTCGCGAAAACATAAAGGGTTGTTTATACGTGTGCTAGGTTTTTTAATGTTAATTCGAATTAACATAACGTATAAATTTATATTTTGTAGAAATACTTCAGCTTAAAAAAGATAAGATGACAGAAGAACGAAGAATTAATGAAGAATTAGCTTCTTTATTACAAGAATTTGGCGATTTAAAAGTTAAATACCACGAAGAGAAAGAAAAAAATGATGCAATTGAATTGGTAATTGTTTATTATGAATTCACATAATGGTTCAGCTGTTATTAAATCACTTCATACTATAGGAAATCGAATCGAAAATTGTCACAAAATATGATTCATTAATTAGTGAACTCAAATGGCAAAATGATCAATATGAAGGAGAACTTAGATCGATAAAAGTGAGTCAATTCATTCGTAAAAGAAAAATTTTTTTTTTTCTTTTTCTGTATTTTTATATTAAAGTAAAATATTTTTCTAGTTTGAGAAAGAACAATATGAGGAATCTTCAAACCGTAAAATTCAAATACTTCAAAAAAAAGTTGAAACGCTTACGAATAAGTATATATTAATTTTCGTATAATATATATTTTATGAACAAATGCTTTAATATTATTTTATATAGTTACAATAATATGAAAAAGCGACGGAATTACGATTTTGAAGGATTTTCCAATGACATCGCTACGTTGAGAAAACAGCTTAAAGGATTGGAAAAACAAATATTGAAATATGCCCCATATGATGATCGGGAGTACCGTTTAATGAATATAGGTACGGTTAACGTTCAATTCATATTCTTGCACATATAAACTGATTGTGTATTATGCTTTTTTCAGCCAAAGAAAATGAAAGGCAAATAGATAAAGTTTCAAGTGAACTACGAATGTTGAAGGTAAAGCGACATTTTTCTTACAATAAAATTATTACATATTTTCTCTGGCTAAATTCATTTTGTAAATCATTCTTAGGCTCCATTAATAGCAGAAAAGGAAGAAAGTGAATGGGGTTTTAATTCATGTTTTTCTCGATAGCATTTGTAATTAAACAAACTCGATGTCAATTATTTTTATAAATAAAAATTAGTTAAATGCAATAATTTAGTCGTGTATTTTAATTGTATTGAAAGACTTTTTATATTATCATTCGTGTGTATTCTTAATTAATTTGATAAAAAGTTTTATTTAAACATAAAAAAAAATATAATGTTCAGTGCCAAAGAATAAAGCATATAAGAAAATAAAAGATGTTATATAATGTATGTAAAAAAAGACGTTGACAGCTAAATTTATGGAGCGGCTAAAATACGTATTGTATTGGTGTTTCCAAGACCTAAAACGAAATTAAATTCTGTTAGCGAAAGGAAAAAAAAAAAATTTTTCACAATTCAAATAATATAAATAATATATACCTCCTTTCCAACCTTGAATAGCAATAACTGTATCACCGCTTTTAAGTATACCAAGTTCAACAGCACGATTTATACCCCAACTAATTCTATTTTCAACATCTATTTGCCAATCTTCATTTCTAGGTTTATCATAAATAAATGGATAACAACCCCTATAAAGATGAATATGTCTTGCAGTTTTTTCATTTCTTGTCACTGTAACAATTGAACATCTTGGACGATATTTAGATATAAGTCTTGCAGTATTACCACTTGTCGATAATACTAAAATACATCCAGCTTGTTGTTCAAGTGCAGCTGATACTGCAGCTGATGCCACTGTTTCAGTCGTTTCTGTTGGCAACAGTGTTGATCGTTTTAATTCTTGATAGAGAGGAGGATAACAAACTACTGACTCTGCGATGACACATGTTTCATGCATCATTTTCACTTTAAATAATTTATAAAAGGTTAAATAACGAATTATCCATGATTAGATATGTTTTAATTAACTATGACTTACCAGCTTCGATAGGATAAGATCCCTTTGCAGTTTCACCGGAAAGCATGACACAATCAGCACCATCAAGCACAGCATTAGCAACATCACTAACTTCAGCTCGAGTAGGTCTTGGATTGAACTAAATCAATACATCAATTATTAAAAAAATAAGAAACAGCAATTATTGCAATTAAATTAATAAAATTTGAATCTTACAGTCATGGACTCGAGCATTTGCGTAGCACTAAATTCAAATAAGATCACGTTAATATGAGTAGTAATAATAGCAATTCATAAAAAAAAAAAAGAATTTTCTCTACTTATAAAATAAAAAAAAAGAATTACCAAACAACAGGTTTTCCAGCGATATTACATTTAGCGATAATCTTTTTTTGAGCGACAAAAACATGAGAAGCAGGAATTTCAATGCCTAAGTCACCACGAGCTACCATTATACCATCAGATTCTTTAAGAATATCATCAAAATTATTCACACCTTGTTGATTCTCAATTTTTGAAATAATTTTAATGTTTTTTCCATTTTCTCCTAAAATTTCTCTAATATCACGAACATCTTGTCCACTACGAATGAATGATGCGAATATCATATCAACATCATTTTCTACCCCAAATAATAAATCTTTCTTATCTTTTTCGGAAACTGCGGGTAAATCCACATCAGTTTCAGGTAAGTTAACGCCCTTTTTACTACATAGTTTACCATTATTCAATGCTTTTACTTCAACATGATCTTCATGAACTTTAAGTACTTCAAATGAAAGTACGCCATCATCCACATAGATTAGTTTCCCTACACCGATTACTTTTGGAAGATTTTTATAATCGACATACATTACTTTTAAGTCACAGCATTCTGCGTAATCATCATTTGTACTAAAAGTCATTTCATGTCCTGCAGAAATAGGAAGCTCAACATCATCGCGCATAATACCAGTCCGAATTTCTGGTCCTTTCTGTAAATATAAAATGTTTAGTTCAAAAAGAATGATTTTACGTTTCATGAAAGATTTTAATTTACGTATACGAATCATTTTGTTTCTCAATAATCCACAGGTAAAAAGAATTAACACCCGGTGAATTACTCGAGGAGAGAAACAAATGATCGTACAATTTTGTAACGTCGATTTACCGTGTCAAGAGCAATTGCTATAGGTCTACCGGGATGCACTACATAAAAGGATTATATTAGCGAATTGATTGGTTAATAATCAAATAATAAAATAATTTATAAATTAAGCTTACGTTTTACACTTTCACGTGTATTGTCGATAACGGATTTATGGTACTAATACGTGAATATAATATAAAGATGGACTGATCAACGAATTGAAGGGTTCGAAACCATGCAAACATGCAAGGATACTCACATCATAAGAACCATGTGAAAAATTCATTCGGACAATGTTCATTCCGGTTTCACGTAAAGATGTAATCATATCAATGCTATTGGTTTTTGGTCCTATATCACAAAAGAATAAAAAGGGAAATTTATAAACAACACAAAAAAAAAAAAAAAGAGTAGGTAAATACAGTAATGTCAAGAAATAACGTACCAATAGTGCAGATGATTGAGGTTTTACGCACATTTTTAACGGATCTATCAATACTCAAAGTAGCCAACCATTCGAGGTTAGTAGTAATTTGAGAATCCATTTTTTTAACTTTAAGGATGGTTCACGAGGGTTTGCATTTTTTTGTGAAAAATGTTAGGGATTTATATTCTTTTTTTAGGTGACACGATCTTGTGCTACTTTAGAATTAATCTTTCTTATCAATATATTCGATTACTTTTTTAGCAAAGTGAAAATAAAACAAATTGCCTATTTTGTAAAAACTTGAAATAAATCAAAAGTTCATCTGTAATCAAATTTTTGAAAACATTAAATAGTTTGACACGTGAACGAAGGAAGGAATTTGCCGAAATAAATAAACATTAAATATTCCTTAAAATATAGTTATCCTGAAAGAAATGATAAAGCAATGATAAAAGGATGATCAGATGATCCAAATATCCAAATATCTATTCGGGGTTAACCACGATTGATAAAGGCATTTGATAAAGTAGACAAATAGAAATTAATGTAACAAGCCCATCTCAAAATTTCAATTTTATAGGTTTATTTAGAGGATCTATCGTAATATATATTTAAAAGTTAGGAATATCCGTAAGTTGACAAAGCGTAGCTTTCATTAACTAGCCTCATTGACTATTGACTATAAAAAGTAAGGCTATAAAGTGATTTACACGCAGCTGAATTTTTATTCATTGGCGCAGCTTTTATTTTCTAATTTCAAGTCACATGAATCATCGCATCCAATAAATCGACGATTGTAAAAGAAAAAAATTTTTTTCCTCCTCCTTTTCCGCTGGTGTATAAACAAGAGGTTATTGAAAAAACTTGTTTTGATCATGGTACTTTTATTATTATATTTTTTTTTTATTGGGTTGATCATGTTGGTCATAAGAGTTTGGAAATTTGGGAGAGTTGGTTATTTTTTTATCTGAAAAAATTTGATCAAATGTCAGGATGAAATTTTAGGTCTATTTTGGTATTAACCAAAATAAAAGTACTGTTTAAGAAGATATTTATAGTTAGTGGTTGATTAATCTATGCTTTTCAAGAAAATTTTGACGTTAATTAATTAAATCAATCGAAAGAATGGATATCTTTTTTTAACTATTCATTTAATTAATTGTATTAGCCTTCCCACAAAACTTACAGAATTAAACGAGTTCTTGGTAAAAAACAAAAACAGAATCGTCCAATTCCTCAATGGATTCGTCTTCGTACTGGGAACACGATTCGGTAAGCATAATTTATTTTTTTTTTTTTTGAACAAATAATATTAAGATTTATCAATTAAATTGTTTTAATTAATGTAGATATAACGCTAAACGTCGCCACTGGCGTCGCACTAAACTCAACATTTAAATTACAAGTTATCATTCATTCAATAAACCAATTTCATATTTCTTAAAATGAAAAATGAATCAAATAAAGTTTAATTAAATCGAAATGTAATTGTGAGATATATTTTTTGTGCTTTATATTGAGAAAGTTAATCAATGTTTATACAAGGAAAGAGTTTTTAATGATGAAAGTTATGTGCAATCAAGTTACATACAATAATTGAAAATGTATTGTAGTAAAAAAAAGTTTTATTTACCAATTTAAAATATCACCGAATTTTTTTCTTAAAAAGAAAAAAAAAAAAAAATTTAAAGACTAAAGATGCATGCTATATGTATTTTGTATTTTTGTAATTATGAAGTGCGAATTTTCAAAGAAAAAAATGCTATTATATATACACACACATATATCTTAAAGAAAGATAATAAAATAATGAAATAACTATCAGAATAAATAATATACGCCTGGCATTCATGGAAAATCACGTCTTTCGTCTATTAATGCTTCAGTATACATCCAGGTATAATAACTTATAAGCAATAAGTAAATAAATAAAAAGTTACTAATATACAGAGAAGAGTTTCCTTTTTTATCCTTAGGATTTTTTCACTCTTAAAACATTTCACCATAATTAGCCACCAGTAATTCATTTATTTTGGTAACCCATTCGTGAGCTGCGTTATTAGGATCTTCGAAATAATATGTTTTTCGAGGCTATAAAAAAATAATCAGTAGATAAAATAATTAGAAGTTGAAATAAATTATAGTCATTCCGAATCATTAAAAATTATAAGAAATATACATACTGTATGAATAAAGAAATTCCTTTTATTTTTTAACTCAACCACCATCCTTGAGCTCCAGTATATTTCTCCTTTTTGTGAATTTTTTTCCTGATCAACATATATTAATCTAGGAAAATCGGTCAAAATCAGTGTTCTTTTTTTGGAAAAAAATCCTTTGCGCTTATTAATTGGACCCGTTTTAATGATCAGTTCGGATTTAAGAATAAATGGAAGCCTTTTTTTTGAATATGCAAATAAAATAAGAGAAATTTTCATAATTACAAGAAAAGAGAAACGATATAATTGTAGTGTTAAATCTTACCACTGAGCAGATGTTCTCTTTTGTTCTTCCAACTTCTTAACTTTTTCAGGATCTACTTTATCTGAAGAATCGTCTCCACCTGCCCAACTTTCTAATCTAAATGGATCATTTTGTCTGAGACCAGTAGCGATTGGACTACCATTAACTTCACTATTATCGGAAAGTTTGGGTAAATATGCATTTGTAGGCGTTCGAAACTCTGGGTCATTATGCTTTGGATTTGGTGGAAGGTATGGAAGTAAATTCGGTGCAGGCTGTTGCCATAATGTATCCCAATCTATACCCTGGAAGAAAGGATGAGCCTTTAGTCGTTCAACACCAGCTTTACCACCAGAACCAAGTCGTTCTGATGGGTTCAGTACCTTATTGAAAAAAAAAAGTAATGATAAATATTATTAATATATTTACATAATAAAAAAATGTTCAGCTAATAATATATTTACCAATAATTTCTGAACTAAATCTCGTGCAACCGGAGGGAACCCATCAGGAAACGAGTATTCTAAATTGACAATCTTTTGAAAAGTCCTATATTCATTAGCACCTTTAAATGGTGGACGTCCCGCTATCAATTGATATATAATACAACCGAGAGCCCAAAAGTCTGAACTGTTGCATTCAAGTTTTAAAAAATGCTATGTTAATGGGATAAAATAAGCAAATAAATAAATAATTAATTACTTTTTATACAAACCTTTTACATGCTGCTTTTTCCTTTAATAGTTCAGGACTAACATACTCTGCGGTACCGACAAAGGAATTTGCCCTATCGTCTATAATATGGATAATGAAAAATAAAAATAAGCAATTTATTCTATTTATAGAAAACAAAACTTGATTAGATATATACTAACCTTCTTCACCTTCAGCGTTTTGTTCTAATATTTTTGCTGTACCAAAATCGGTGACTTTGACGTGCATTTTTTCATCTAATAATATGCTTTAATAAAATAAATATATTAAATGATTATTTAAGATGAATTAACAAACTAATTTCTTATAAATTATATTATGAAAGATCATACTTACTTCTCGGGCTTAAGATCTCTGCCAAATAAAATCACCAGTTACAAATAAAGAAAAAACATTCACAAATCAAAATAATTTTACGTTAATAAATAAAATATTCGTTACCTGTGAATTACACCCTGAGAATGCATGTATTCTATTGCTGAAAGAATTTGAGAAGCATAAAATTTAGTACAATCCATATCAAAAGAACCGAGCTAAAGAAAAGAATATGCATTAATAATTGAAGAAATTATGTAAATAATAATCATGATGATGATATTAATCACCTTCTTAATGAAAGTTAAAAGTTCGCCATTTTTCGCGTGATCCAATACAAAATCTAATTGTTTAAAAGTTAAAGAACAATAAAATAATTTCAAAAAAGCGACGCGACATATCAATTAAAGATATATCAAGAGGATACATAAACTATCGGGATCTTGAAACGTATAATAAAGTCGTACAATTCCAGGATGATTCATTTTATTAAGCGTATTCTTTTCAATGTTAACATATTTTACTTTTTTTTCCTTGATTATATGCTTCTTATCAAGAATTTTTACTGCATATTCACGATTATTTGAACGATCTCTAGCAGCAACAACCTATAAAAGTGGTAAAGAGAGAGAAATAAAAAATAGGTACATTCTTAAAATTAGAATTAAATAAAATTTTATATAACATAAATAAAAATCTAAAATGACAAAAGAACTCGAAAGTTAGACTAGTCTCTTAGAGCATACCGTAGAGTATGAACCTTCACCAAGGGTTTTACCAAATTCAAAATCTTTCACACCTTTCTTTCTTACAGAAGGAGTATGAGAAAGTTGAGTTTTCAGAGTCTGTTCACTATTGCTTCTCGGAGGAAAAGTTGGGGTAGGAGGTTGAGAACGTTGGCCAACTGGAGTACGGGTACCTTCCTTAGGTGTACCATTAGTTATTGGGTAAGGATTTATTGTATTATTGCCTGAAGACATTAGTATTCACTTTTAAAGAGTCAGTATTTGAGATGAAAACAAGAATAATTATTAAAAGACGTTAAGTTAAAAGTGTGTATTATAAATAATTAATACAGTACCTATAAAAAATTAAAATGATGAATGATAGCGCAGAAACGTAGAGATAGGCATGTGATAACGGATTTAACTATATTAGCCTAGAATGTGAAATCTCCTCATAAATTGAACTTCTTACAAAAATATATGCACGAAACACAACCACAAAAACACGTACAGAATAGCAAATAAGTTTTAATTTACATATATAGATTGTTGATTAACATATATTTTCATATGTTTGAGATGAAATTATGTATCTTTCGTTTGTTCAGGAGAGAAACGCGTGTGGAGAAAAATTAATTAAACCTACATTTACACAATAAATCATGATGAACATAAAATATTATCTTATAGTGCATTCATTCATTCTTCAAATTTCAAATAAAAGTTTTATATTCCCACGTTTATAATAAGGGCACAAAATTTAATAAATTTTTTCTCACTACTATATCTGTCTAAACACTCATATGATTGCCTTATTAGTTTAATGTCATGAAAATGTCGGACAATGGATTTGATTGATTTAATATTGTTACACATTAATAATAATAATAATTATATATTATATATCTTATAATAATAATAATTAAAGTTATCCTATAATTTATATATAGGTTAGTAATTTTAATTATATTATATTAAATCATCTATTAAAACGTTCAGTAAATATAAAACTTAATAGCCAGCCAGCACCAGCACCCATCAATGTAGATAAAATTATTATCTTGTCCAATTCTCCACGGGTGAGTATAATATCATTTTTAGGGTCATAAGTCTCTTCTTCTATTATTGACTTTTCACTATCTTTTAATAAATTATCATAATCAATAAGTTCATTTTCCGTTCTAATTTCTAAATTATTTTGATTTGTTTCAAATTCAACAATAGATTCATTATGTTTTTTAATAGGATATAAGTTATTATCTGTTAATAATTTACTTATTTTTTCGTCCATTCTTTCATATTTATGATATAACTGTTGAAAGATTCCTGTCTCCTCATTCTTATCTAATTTCTTAATAAGCAATTCTTCAAATTTCTCAGCTAATTTTTGTCTCTTACGAGGTTCGAAAATAGTTTGTACACAAATAAATAAAATAATGTTGAGTGTCATAAGAGCAATTGTACCGTATGTTGAAGCGCTACGAATTTTATCACTCCAGACCTGTTCTTCATGGTAACGCATCATTATAGATTTAGATAATTCAGTATATTCTTTTTCAACTTGTTTTTCATATTTATGAAGTTCCTCTTTTGCTTCAGTTAACATTTTTTCATTCAAATGTTCATTTCGATAAAGTTCCGTGAACTTCATAACATCATCGTTAGACCATTGATGTTTCCGTTGAAGAAGTTCATTAATTTCTCGTTGAGTAGCGGATCGTTTTGCAACAGCTTCCTCATAAGCTAATTTGGCAGATGCGAGGCGTTGACGTGTAGCTACAAATTCTTTTTCTATGATAATTTAACATGTCATTTATTAATTTTTAATGAACAACATTAATACAAATTTATCTATAATTTTTTAATGATCTTACTATATGTATATATTTATATATATACATATATATTATTGAAGATTTGAATGTAAAGGAAAAAAGTTACCCTGTTGAATCACCTTTTCTTTCAATTTCTCGATTACAGAATAACCTGTTAACTCATTCAATGATTTAGAAGCAATATTAAGTGCATGTTGTGTATTTTTGATCTTCATTTTAGTTATTTCAAATATTCGTTCAGTTAAAAGCTCATTTTTATTCTTAGCATCTTTAGGAGGAAAGTTTGTTAAGCCATTTTTAGTCGCGGAAGGTTCAGAAGGAGTAGTTATTGTATCTTCATTATTTCGTGTTGTTGCATTTTTGTTCAAAGAATAACAATTATATTGTGGTTTCATTATTAAATTATTTAAACCTTTTTTATTTAAAATAAAACTATGACAATGTAAAGACTCATAACGAAATTTTGTTAAAATTAATGATGTTTCAGCCTTGCAAAAACGCAATGGCTTCATTAAATAACGAGACGAGGAGAACATATCGAAAAAAATTATTATTTTTTTTTTTCTTCGGAAATTAAGATCGATGATATCAGCGATCTACTTATTGATTTTAAATTACATAAGAAATAAAAAAAAATGTTTAACCATTTTCAGAATGAACCAGAAATTTGGGTTTAAATGTATACCTTAAAGGTTACAATAAACCAAATATAATTTTATTCAAAAAATTTTCCGTTATAACCTGTAAATATTTTTTTTAAAAAAAATGTATTCTAGAGAATCGGATACGCTCAAAACTACTTCCCAATATTCAGCAAAACAAACTGATAATTCAACTTATGTACCATTATTGGAACGAGACGAACAGGAAAATTCGACGTACACAGACTCTTCTCCGGCAGATACAAGCACTAATGAATATGAAAATCGACGTGCTGTTGGTGCAGTGAGAAGTATACGGGTAATTGTTTCACGATTTTGATACTTCGTTCAATTAAATTAAATAATTAGTTCTCATTTTTTTTATTGAAAGGACATTCTTAATGCAGACAGTCAATCCCCAATTAAGCGTGAAGAAATTGACGTAGATATAACTGGCGATGAACCTTCAGAAGACCAACCATCGCCATTTAAATTTGAGGATCAATTTGGTGAAGTTGTTGACGAAGAAAGAGACAAAATACAGAGATTAAATGTGCGGCATCCACATTCTTCAACTGCAGTTAGAGATTATTTGAATAAAACTGTAGTACCTACTTTATTAGCAGGAATGAAGAAAATGGTTCGCGAAAGGTAATTAATTTATATTTCTCGAATAATTATATTCATTTAATTCTTTTTTAGAAGAATATTTATTAATTTTTTATTTTCTTTTCTTTAAAAAAAAAAGACCGCAAAATCCATGTGAATTTTTAGGAAGATATTTGATTGAACATTGTGATCATGATCATGATCATAAAGAAGAAAGTAATACAGAAGTTCGGATTAAACAAGAAGATACTGATTATTCACCACGTAGCCGACAAAAACAGAGAAGAGGAAGTGGTTCAAGTGCAGATAATGGTGACATGGATGTAGATGATGATGTTTAACCTTATTTCATTTAAAGAAATAATAAATTCAGAAAACATATTACGAAATATTTAATCAATTAATAGGATCATATTTATATTTTATATACAATAATTGCTTAAATTATATTATTCTGCGCTGTACAAATATTAAGCCAGGTAGGTTTTATTATTGTAATATAAGAATGATGTTGTAATAGAATGCATAATGTAATTCCGCATAGGATTAAGTTGGAAATTTGGAATCATTTAATAAAGTTTTGCAATCGAATGTTTAAAAGAGAAATTATACAAAAATTTCAAAAAAAAAAAAAATAAATATGTTGATAAAAGTAAATATAGAGTAAATCGGCCATTGAAATAAATCACTTGGAAACAGGCTGACTTTTTTAACCATTTGTATTATGGTACTATTATATACAAATCAGTTATTGATCTCTCGCTTTTACGTTCTCACTCATCATTATCATCTGATTTGGATAAATTGGCTGTTGTCCAATCTGGAACTTGGCCAGTATATTTTTCTCTTGTTATTTCAACTACAGTTGATTTAAGGGATCCAATTAATGAACCTAAAAAGTAGAATCGAAAAAAAAAACAAGATGATTGAATATGTTAAATTACAAATTATAACTTTTAAACTAAGTTACATACCACCAACCCAAGCCCGACAATTTGCTACAAACACTTTTCCACTACCGCTATCTTCTAAGAATTCAATATGATCCGCAAGTCCACTTAAAGATTTAAATCTTCTGTCAGTATGCAAAGCACGAAGTAATTCTTGTCCAAACCTAGATTGGAAATTTGGAAGTAAAGTTGTACCACCAACAAGAAGAATAGCTGAAGCAAGAGGGCGACGTAAATGGATTGGTGTCTATTATAATAAATTAAAATTTAATTAAATTATTTAAAAAGAACCCCTTCAAAATTACTATACAACTAACCTTTAGTAAACACTCTAAAGCACATCCCACCACGCTGGATTCGTCTTCATCTCCTTCAAATAGCACTTCTGCACAGCGTTCTCTGATCCAGCCCGGAATGATTAAAGTACCAATTTGACGTTCTCGACCACTTTTACTTATAGTAATGGGATACAATACATTTGTTGCCGAGCTGACGGAAGCATATTTATTTTCCATATCTTCTACTAATGTTTTTTCGGCAATACCAATTGACGCCGCAGAAACCATTATTGGACTTACGAAAATAAATCGAGTTTTAATGTCTTCAAGTACTGCAGGTGTCAAATATTTGGCATGGACTGGTGACTCTTTAGTAGAAGGAGGAATTATCATACTTCCAAAAGTTGATAACAATTCTTTAAGTCGTTTCGTCAATGCACGACCAGCTAATGGAGTTGTGCGAATGTAAGGAGTTAAGGGACGAGCTGAAAATGTCTATAAAATTAATCAATTAAATGTTATCAAACTCTAAAATTAAAATTATAAAAAAAGTAATATTTACCGGAAGTACAGTAGTTTCTAAATACCCAACATCTATCACCAAACCTGTTGTACGTCCCGTTGTCAACAACGCCAACATGTGAGATGGTGCAAAAGATATTGATGGTACCTATATTTAATTATTAAAATTAATAAATGCTTATAAGCCTATAAATCAAATATATACTACAAACCTGTAAATTCTCAAATAACACTTTTGCAATTAATTGCTTTAATTTCAAAGGAAGCATGGGAGATTCACATAACACAACTTTGCGTTGTTTAGGGTCAGTTAAGAGGTACCTAATTCAAATTTACAAAAAATTATAGATATTATAATCAAACAAATCGAATAGCCATTATTCTTTAAAGCAAACCTGAAATAAATTTCTCTTAGATAATGTGCCAGCCGGTCATAAAGAACATCTAATCCATCAGGATATTTCCCGATTTCCAAATCAAACAATTCTGCAAACTGTAATACGTTAATTAATACTATTACATTAGAATTAAAGAGCATTAAATTTCATAAATATCTCACCTCACCAACTACTCTGCAACTTTCACCACATGCCTTTACAACTCCTCCACTTCCGTTGAAATCAGGATCCCAATGGACTTTCATGTTTCCAGCATACACGGGTACAATGTGTCTCGGTCTTGACTCTCCACTAAAACCAGCTTTAATGTAAAGACTGCCTATATCTAAAACAATTCTATCTTCACCAGTCCCGTAAATAGAGGGACGTCGTGTAGACGTTACAGGTATAATATTATTAGAAGTAGTCGAACTTTGAGGTACGGGAGAAGCATTACGAGCCGGTGGATTATTTGGGGTGGTAGATCGCGGTGTTTGACTCGCCGGTTGAGTACTGGTCGTGATATCAATAGTTGGCCTATTAGGAGCCGACGATGAGTTTGATTCCTCTTCCATTTTACTAGAATAAGTATTTGACTATGGTCTTATAACTATTATATGACAACTTATATATTTATCTTTGATTCTTTTTGTTCTCAGAATTTGGTTCGAAATTCGTATTAGGCTTTTATCCGATATCTGGAGTACATCATCATCATTTTTTTTGATTACAACTTGCCAAATTAAGATTTCTTATTAACCAAAAGGTTGATACAGGTTAATAAACAAACAAAGTCACGTGGATTTTATGATCTAATAGACTAATACGGAAATAGTATTTTTGTATTTTGCTCTGCATAAATAAACAAAATAAACAAAAACAAACAGCAGTTCTCTCTCTAACAACTAGACTTCTTAAAAACAAAAAAAATGTCCATCACACCAGACTCTCTAAGAAATAAAAGAAAAAACGAGTTAAAAGGTATTTATGTTTCGAGGGTTCACAGAAAAAGTAACGATAATTATTTTACTATAAGTATTAATTTTATAACTCAACGTTATCTCTCATACGCTTTTAGAAATCGCTTTAGATCTAGGCTTAAGTACGAAAGGTTTACGTAGCGATCTTGAAGAGAGAATTAGGTATTCATCATTTATCAGGTCAATTGCGGTGTTGCTTATCTGATAAACGTTACTTATTTTATATTTTAACAGAATTCATTTAGAAAATGCTTCGAACGATAAAACTTCAGAATCCACTTCAAGCAAAACACCGCGACGTTCATTCCGTAAAAAAAGTATAAGTACTATCAGAGTAAAATCACGAAGAGATAATATTCCGTCTTCCCCTAATGGAGGAAGGTTAGTATCTTTGTAAACGAATTCGTATTAATTTATGATATATAAAACTCACACATTATGTCTCAATAATTAATTTTTCTTTTTCATTAAAAAATTATACAGAAGTTCCTCAGATGAAGAAAATCAATCAGTGTCGTCGGAGAATGAAAGTAAACAGGTGATCAAACGAACAAACCTTTTCAATAAACACATAAACAATCAATTGACTTTTGAATCATCCCAACAGGATATTATCATCACGCAGACTACTTCAGAATTAGAAACAACTGAAACTGTTAATCTACGAGGCTTACCAAGTGATAATGTTTTTAAAGTTAATACTTTTCTTATTCAATTAAGAAAAGTATGTTTTTTTTTCTAAATATTTTTTTTTTTACGTTTAAGAGAACTTTTATACTTTCGTTTATTGATTAAAATGGTAATACTTTGTTGTTTTAGAATATCTCTAATTCCACTACATTTTGTAAGGCCGTTACATGTTTGGAACTTTTAGTGTTCCTATATTGTGCAATCGAATGGAGTCTAAAGGTATGTTTGTTTTAATTTCTGAAATAGATCGCGCAATTATTATAAACTAATGTCATCCGCTAACATATCTTTCTAAAAGATTGCATCTATTCCTATCCCAAACTTGGGCTCGGAAGAGAGTTATAACTATGATTTGCATGTACCAGACATCTTTATTTTTATTGACTGGCATCGATTCTGGCGTCCATTGATTTCTTTCATATTTTATCTAGTACTCTTACCACTGGGGTTTTCATATATCTTCAATTTCGAGCCACATCGCAATTTATACAGTCCTCTAACTTTCTCTGTTGCCCAATATGCAATTTTCATGGTCTCTGTTTCTAATTTCGATTGGGCCGAGGATGTTCGTGATTTCATTCCTGACAACTTAATTTACATGGGAGCTGGAACTGGAGCAATTTTCGCACTTTACGAAAGTATTTTGGCAAATTCAGATACAACTTAATTCCTTTTGGTCGTTCCTAAAAATTGTTCGATTGAATCATATTTCTTGGAAATTCTTGACGAATTTTTTTTTTCATTCGTTTCCTCGCAGAATGTATCGGTTATCGGCTGTGCTTCTGCCATGCCATAGAAAACCAATTTATGTGTAAATAAAAAAATTGATTTAATTCCTCATTTGAATTTATTTTTAATTTGGTAATATTATTCAATATATATTTTCGAGTTTAAGCCATTATTTATTTTAATTAGACACGAAAACTTTGTTCCATAGTAAAATCAAAAAAAAAAAAAAAAATGTAATGATGTAATGAATATAATAAAAGAGGTCATCAGATTTGCTACGTTTTGGTTACAAAATGAAGACAATATAAGAATCGTAACATAACGAAAACAAAATGTAACAGGTAACGTAAATAGAAATAAAGTTATATTGTCAAGATTTTGTATATTACAAATCATTTTACAGTGTTGCAGATCAATATACAAATGAAGAAATTCTAAGAACTCCACTTACTATATATATTCATTATCTAATCAAGGTTAAAATTTTGTGATATCTTTTTTTACAAATCAAAATCAGATCAGTCTCGAACTATCAGGTAGTCAGTTTCATAGTCGACAGCTTTTAATCATTCCCTTAGTATTCCTACCTCCCTTTTTTTTGTTTTAATAATGGCTCCAAATCACAGTGCTCCACTTATTAGCGAAAATACTTTTAATGTGCCCCGCCTTGAGGATTATGACATAAGTCCGTCGACTGGATTCCTTCCTTCTATTCCACCATTAGAATGTTTGCCTGACTCTTATTATGAACCCTGGGAAACTTTAATTTCAATGTTTCATAATTTGATGTTGGCTGGTCGTCTAAGGGAATATGTTAAAAGGGTATAGTATTGAATTAATGAATGCGCGCTTATAGTTTGAATTTAGGAGTTGCTTTATCCACAAAAAATGCGATGAGATGGATGAGATGGTTACATGCTGATCATGATACGATGTCAATCTCTTAACTAAATGTAGCTGCCGATTTTGAAAACTGATCGCCTAAAAACTCCAGAAGAATATCGTCGTGCTTTCTTAGTATTGTCCTTTATAGCACACGGATATGTGTGGGGAAAATATGAAACAGTCTCAGACGTGCGTAGAATAATAAAGTTCGATATTATTTGCTTTGTTTTTTTCGCTTTTTATCGCGATCTAATCCTATTAAAATAAAATTTTATCTTATATATAGAGGCTACCAGCTAATATTGCTATACCTTGGGTAGAAGTATCAAAATATCTCGATGTCGCACCAATAATTAATCATGCTGCAGTAGTGACTTGGAATTGGAGCTTACTATTTTCAGATGAACCGTTTAAATTAAAGTATTTATACATCTTACTCATCAAATTTATGGTAAATTGTTGAATTCCGATGAAACTTCTCTAATTAAATTTGAAATATATTTTTCTATCTTTAGTAATCTAGCTACATTAATTACGTTCTCAAACACGTTGGATGAATCATGGTTTTATCTAGTTACAACTGCTATTGAAGGGTTCGGAGGACGCGCTCTTACGAGTATTATGGCTGCAATTCAGGCTACTTATGATGGTAATAACGAAATATTGATTAATGAATTAAGAAATATCAGTTCTACCATTTTTGATATTAACAAAACCCTGCAAAAGATGTTTAAGAAATGTGATCCATATGTCTTCTACTGGAAGGTACGACCATACCTCTCCGGTTGGGAAAATGAAGATCGTTTACCAAAAGGGCTAATTTATGAAGGAGTAGATGGAAACGATGAGAATGGGAATCCAATTTATCGACGGTACATAGGAGGCAGTGCAGGTCAAAGTGCCTTAATCCAAGCTCTTGATATTGCACTTAGTGTAAAACACTATCCAACCGGTATTAAACCGCATACAAATTCTTCTTGTCCCCGCTATACCTCATGTTCTAATGGTTACCCTCAACCACATGATATTCATCAATATGTGTCTAATGGACATACCGAACCTCAACAACCTTACCTTCATAGAATTCGACAGAATATCCCAGGTCCTCATCGTAGATTTCTTGAGGACCTTGCCAAAATAGCTGATATTCGAAATTACATAATATCTACCACCAATTATGATTCGAGCGTTAATACTTCCTCATCAGATGAAAGCGAAGACACGTGTTTATTACGCGAAACTGATGAAGCTGATGATCTAATTAAAGCATATAACGAATGTTTGAACCAAATGAAAGATTTTAGAAAAACACATTTAAATATTGTAAATTTTTATATCATAAAACAAGCACGCAGGGGAGGTGATCCACATTTTAATGCGAAGGAAGTGACTCCCCCCGTAGATAAAGGTAATGTATCCATATTTGTTTGTTTTCGTTCATTATTCGTTCGTTATTCGTTCGGGAAGGAGAATTATATATTTATTATTTATTTACTTAGATTTAGTAGGTAATAATGAAATAACTGCAGTGAGTAATGAGATCATAATGACCACCACTAAATCAGTGAACAATGAGATCATAACGACCACCACTAAATCGATCGAGATTATCAAGGGTACTGGAGGAACTAATTTAATTCCATTTTTAGAACAAATGAAGGATGAAACATTAGCCCAAAAAATCCAGTAGGGATTTTTTACTTTAAAATTGTAAAGTTGCATAAAGCTAAGAATTATCTTATTTCCCTTCATCCCATTGCATCAGTAAGCTTAACAAGCTTCCTATTTAAGATTTATCTATAACACTTATTTAAGTATTCTCGAACAACTAAATTATTTGCCAATTAATTATTTATAGATTAGTTTCTTAGTTTATATAGTTTTACAATCGAACCAATTTATATATTTATTTCCTGATTGGAATAAATGAGTATTTCCAAAAATGGAATTTTTTATAATTCATCTAATTCATCGTAATTTATGTACATTGTTAAATCATGCGTTTTCTATTTTTTTTTTTTTTGGTCAAATCATGCGTCTTTCCTGTCAAATCATATATTTTTCCTGATTTTCCCTTCTACTATAAATATAGTAAGCGCAGTTTATATAAAATCCAAGAATGGATTCCAGTAGACAGTTGCAATGTGAAGAATTGTCTTTACTTATTGCAATGTTTGTTGATAATGAATTTCAGTGGATAGGAGATGAAAATCAAATTGAAAGTTGGAAAGTAATTATCAAAGTTAAAGTTTTCATATGTTCAATAATTAATATCGAATATCACAATTTTCTAATTCTTTTAAATAGTCAATTATAGATAATTTTAATTTAAACCAAACAACAATACGAAATCTCGAAGAAATTCCTCAATTTCGGTTTCGATTATCTTTGGATATAAATAACAGTTGGCTTAATGTATTTTTACCTTTAAGATATCCTAAAGTACAACCAGAATGTTATTTTTCATCAGACAATGTCAACAAACAAACGTGGACTGAAATTAATTTTGAAATTGAAATGAAAGTCAAGGAATTAAATGCTAATGATGGTAAGTTTCTTAAATTTTCTTCCAAAAATTATTTTATTCTTTTTTTTATAATAAAAAAATTTAATTGATTATTTTTAAAGAATGCTGTATCTTTGAACTTTATCAACATACGAAATCATATTTGACTGAAAAGTTTTCGCAGTATACGTTATCCGACTACGATGACAATAAAAATGAAAAAGAAAAAGCATCTCTACAACTTTCGCGAATATTAATATGGACACATCATTTATTATCTTTGGAAAAACGGAAGAATATTTGTCAATGGGCTGAAGAATTAGGATTATGGGGTATTTAGATTTTCATGCAACTAATATTTATTTTAGTTTATACACAATTATTATATTTTCGTTGTTTTATTGAAAGGATTTTCGAAACCTGGATATCCTGGAATTATTATTGTTGAAGGATTAAATGATAGAGTGCATGAATATATATCAAGGCTTAAGGTATGTAAAACTAGTGAGATCTAATTTATTTTTTTACTAACCTTTTATTTTAATTTATAAAGAGTTTGAGATGGCAGGCAATTACTGTTCGTTCAGAACAAACCGAACCACTTGATCTAAAAGAACAACATTATGGAGAACGAGTCAAACTAAGATTGGGAAGAAGCAATCCTGGAGTTACCGAATTGGAAACTATGTCAGAAATTTCTTCAAAGTAAGCTAATAGAATATAGTTATTAATTATATTAAAGAAATATTATTTAATAATTTTTATTTAATCTAAATATAGAATGAAAAAAGCTGATTTAGAAGAAATGTTTATGTCTGCGATGAAAATCAATAAAAAATAACTCATTCTAGATTAGAATATATTTTATATTTAATAATTCGAAGGTTTTCACATACCTGGTAATTTACCTCAAATTTTCCACCTCCCCGGCCAGAAGTATAAATTCGGCCAGCATTAAGAAATTACGAGATAAGCCCACATAGTTCAAGAAATTAATCCATCAAAAATAATTAGATACAGATAATTCAGATGATCAGATCAATCTGAATTAATTGGATTATAGATCAAACCTTTATAAAAGAAGCTTTTGCATCCTATATTATTGGAACTTGAAACTTAGTCAATTAATTATTAACAATGCAAGTAAATTATTAGGGTTATAACATATATAATATTTTTATTAGGCATATACTTCCATGTAAAATATAATGCAACCAATTAAATCACCATGACTTTTTATTAAAAGATTTTTGCCAATCTTTCTACCTTTTAAAATATTATATAATGAATATCATAATCCTTATAAATTATATATTACTTAGTATTTTTCTCATTCCTTTTTATTTTTGATGCAAAAAACTAATATACAAAAGTCCTTCTAAAAAAGAAATTCAGTCTTTTTTAATTCAATAAATGATTATTATTAAATGACTTAAATCAGAATTCTGCTTACTTATAATAAAGGTTACTATAGAAAATTGGCCTTTTACTGATAATTTTTACCTTACTTTTTTATTAAATTCTATTGATTAATTAGCTAAAAAAGGAAAAAATCATAACAATGTAACATAAAATTTCCTTTATAGTAAGATCTGCAAAGAATTTTATATATGATTTTTACCTTAAATTTGGAAGTAACTTATCTTATAAATAAGCAGATTCTCTTATAATTTGTATATATATATATAATTTAATATTTCTTCTATAATTTAGCTAATATTAATATAATATTACTTTAATATAAAAATTGTTTGTCTAAAATATTAGAAAAATTTTATATTCATATATTAGAACTTATATTTATAAAATTATTTAAAAAAAGTTAAAAGTTTTGGAATTAAAAAGAAGGCAATATAGTAGTAACAGATAATAAAAGTAATATAGTTAAGGCAATTAATAAATAAAATGGTATAAGTAGAGTAGTAAACTTAATATATACTTTTCAGCTTTACATACTTAAAGAATTTAAATAAATAAAACTATATTTTTAAAGATATATAAAATTAAAACAGTTTTTTGAATTACTTAAGTAAACAAAAAAGTTAGAAGATGCTTAAAAAGAAATAATTGGACAAGAAAAATGAATAGCTAATGAAATTGGATTATTTCCTTCTATATAAAATAATAAAAATATATAAATAACAATTAATATAAAAAAATAAACCATTATTACAGAGATACTAATATATTAGAAATTAAAATTAGCTTTCTGGAAATGGTTAAAAGAATTAGTTATATTTAGTTTAAAAACCAATTATAAAGTAAAAAAAAAATTATTAACAATTAATAATATTAATATTAAATGGAAATTATTTAACAAATTATTTAAAATATTAACTTCAATTGAAAGTGCTATTCAGTTTTTTGAAAGTCAAAAATTTTTTTTAAATATTATGATACATTATATTAATAATAATTACTAATTTAATCATTAATTAAATGAAAAAAATAATAAAGAAAATTTATATTTGGAAATTAAAGATAAATTTATGGAATGTTTACTATTATTATCTAATAATAATATTAATTTTATAATTAATTTAATTAAAAAAGGAATTTATAATACTCTTTTTAAATATTGGAATATTCTGCTAAATTTTACTTTATTAGCTAGTTTATTAGATTCTAAATCTAAAATAATATATAATTAGTCTTATAAATTACAGAAATTAGTAAAATTTTTATTAAATACAAAATATGAAAAATATAAAGATAATGATATATTATACAAATTTATCTGTCATTTTAATCATAAATTTAATTTTTTTTAAGTAGAATATTTAATTCTTAAATATATTCAATTTATCAATTAATAATAAATTAATTCAATATTTAGATAATTTTTGCACACCTTAAATTTTTTCTAATAACAATATTTTCAAATAATAAATTTAAAGTAGAAATAGTTAATAAAATATAGAAATTTAGAATATATCAATCTATTTAAATAAAGGATAATTTTAACATTCACTGAAGGTGAAATTCACTGAAAGATTATATTTTACCAGAGGTGAATTTCACCAGATAAAATTGTAAAATACAACATATCATGTGACTACAAATTTTTTTAAAAAAATTTCTTAATAAATAAAACTGAATACAAACTTGCAAAATTTTATTAACAAAAAGTTTCTTTTAAATTATAGGAAATTAATATAATTTTAATTAACTCTACACACTATTCCTATCACCATTTATTTCAAATTATATTATTAATTTTTGCTTATTGCAATACACTCCTTTATAATGTACTGTACTATATCGCGGGCCATAGTACCCCCATGCATAATACCCCCTTGAAAAATTTCATAGAATTGTATAGTACCTGAGGGGATATTTTACAATTATCTTGTGATCCAGTGATCAGATTTGAGCCATCTTTTTTTGTTTGATAGCTTTCATTGAGCTCATCAAAATAAAAAAAAGATCATTCAAATTGGACTGGTAGATCGTAAGATATTCGCAAAAAATGGAATTTTTAGGCTTTGTTTAGTACCTGGAGGTACAGGGTCAAACCCCGATTTTTGCAAGATATCCAGGGTACTGTAGCCCGCTATATACGGTAGTTAAAATTATTAATTAATAATAATGTGTATTATTATAAAATTTCACAATAAACAAAAGAGTAAAATGAATAATAAAAGATAAGTAAAAAGAAATAAAATATATGATAAAAAAAAAAAAATGAAATGAAACGAATAACAAAAATTAAAGGGAAGAAATAGGTAGTAAAAAATGAAAAAAAAATAATGTAAAAGATAGGAAGTGAAGTAGATGATAAAAAACCATGTAGAAGTGAAAAGAATGATGAAAAAGAATGGATGCAAAAGTAATGCATGATGAAAAATGACGTAAAAGTAAAAAAGATATTGGCATGAGAGCGAAAATAATAATGGAAATCAGCATGGAAGTGAAAGTGATGATGAAAAATTAGTATAAAAGTAAAAACAATGACAAAAATTGGCATAAAAGTGAAAGGAATAAATGGATGATTGAAATCAGCATGGGAATAAAAGTGATGACAGAAATTGGCATAGAAGTAAAAGTGATAATAAAAATTGATATAGGAGTAGAAGTGATGATAAAAATTGGTATAGAAGTGAAAGTGATGATAAAAATTGATATTGGAATAGAAATGATGACAAAATTTACAGAAAATAACATGGGTGTAAAAATGATAATAAAATTCAGCATAGGAGTAAAAAATAATGATGAAAATTAGCATGAAAGCAAAAATGATAATGGAAAATAATATATGTATAAAATGATAATAGAAATTGGCAGGAGCAAAAGAAATGATGAGAAATAGAAGGAATGATATAGAAAATGAAAAAGAAACAAATGGGAAGAAAAGGAAACAAAAAGATTATGGAAAAAAAGAAATACTGATTAGTATCATTTTAGTAAAAGAAAATAATTGAATAAAACAGTAAAAGGCTAAAGCCATTTAAATTATCATTATCCAAAGAAGAAAAGTTAGCAAAGTAAAGTAACAAAAAAGAATAAAAAAATTCAAGTTGTTTTGGAAATAGTACTTCTGAAAAAGCAAAAACAAAAAATATATATAAAAAATATTTTGCGTAATACAAATTCATCTGGTAAATTTTACTGGAACAAAATTTAAAATTTTTAATACATTGCAGATTATAGCAAAATTCATCAAAGGTAAATTTTAAATTAATTCTTAAATAAAAATTTATTTTTAATTTTATTATTACATTAAAGGTAAATTTAGATTTAATACCTCTGTATAATACTTAAATCTAATCTTTTATGATGCAATATACATAAATTTCACAGAAAAGAAAAAAATTATATCTTAAATTTAATTGGTTTTTTTTTTTTTTTTTTTTTTTTTTTAAGGCATGATCATGTTTATTGATAATCTGTCTCTTATACACATATAGATGTGTATAAGAGACAGGGTATAAGTAGAGTAGTAANGCTTTACATATATAAACCCTGTCTCTTATACACATCTAGATGTGTATAAGAGAAAAGGCATGATCATGTTTATTGATAATAATGTTAAAGTAATACAATATATTTACAAAAGTAAAATAAAATAAGGTATTCTAAATAAATTTAAACGTTATTAATATACTGCTCCTTTTAAAGGAAAAGACCGACCTGTCACCTTAAGATCAAAGGTGACTTGTCATGAAAGACTTAAAAATTTGACCAATGACCTCCTTTATCAAACATTAAGCTATTCCATAGCTCCCAATATGAACTTACTATTTTGTCTAATTTATTGTAATTTATTGGCCACTAATTTAGATTTGTTGACCGACTTTTTTATCTTTACATTAATCCCTTTCTGATGTTCTAAATCAGCTAATTTAACATTCCTATACTATACATGAAGTTGAAATTAAAGCCCAAAAGTAGAAATATTTCGACTTGGGAAGGTCAAAAGTTGAAATTAAAGTCAAAATGGTTGAAATTACATCATAGTCATGTGATTTTTATAATTATAATTTAATATAAAATTTTAAACGTGAATAACTCCGTCAATATTAATGCTACAAATATGAAATACATATCATTGGAATCCTCTCGATGAACTGAATCCAACCGTGTAAAGATCATAAAAATCGAATTACTGGATGCGGAGTTCATTAACTTTGAATTTTAAAATTATTGTTTACTATAAAATCATATGACTATGACGTAATTTTGACTATTTCAACTTTTGGAGGGGCTCAAGTCAAAATCATTTCGACCATTTTGACCATTTCGGAGGTCAAAATTAACCAATTTTGGTTTCATGTATATCCTATACTCCCATATAAAAATTTTGAAGTCAAAAATCAATTTGTTAACCAAATCATCTAATAATCTTATCCTGTCTTTATCTAATATTCTATAACTTGTAAATAAGTTAACTAAATCAACATATATAAAACCTTTTGCTAACATAGACAAATTATATGCCTTATTGAAATCCCAAATCTTACAACACGAAATTTCACTCTTTCTGGTCGATCTCTTAACCAAATATTTTTGTAAAGACAAATATAAAAATTTTTATTGATAAAGACATACAATATGGAGTCAACAATATTTGTAAATAAGGAAGAGGTCCTGACGTGGGTTAACAACAACAAGAAGTCATATATGAAAGCTTTTTTCAACCCCTTTCACGATATTTTTGACCATTATCTAGGGGAAATCGTAAAGTACTAATAAACCAGAGACAAAAGTAGCGGCGGTGTATTATTTTTTAGCTTTATTCCTAATAAAATGGGCAGGTACACATATAGAAAGTATAATAGAAGCACTACTTCATCGTGAGAGAACTGCGGCAGTGAAATATGAACAAATCAAAATGCAGAACACAGAAATTTTGGAAAAATTTGAGGACATGAAAAAAAATATGGCAGATGGTAGTTTGACAAATGGATTAGTAATTCAAGATTTAGAAAATAGAATCAGGAATTTAGAAGCAGACGTAACGGCAAAGAAACGAATAATATTGGAGAAAAGTGAGACGAATAATGCTTTATGGGAAAAAATAAAAGCGCTAGAAATAAAAGAGGAAAAGTTAACGAGTTAAGTGACGAAAATGGAAATAGATAGCGAGACGCAGAAAAAGAAAAAATGCCTCAACAAAAAAAGAAAAAGGGCGTGACCACAACATGCTAAAAATGGAATGATCACCGAACCTGCGATAGATATGATCGATTATAAAGATAAAGATCGACTGGAAAAATATTTTGCTGATAAGTCACGTGATATCACATTTTACGATGTGCCAGCGTATTGGAGTGATGATGAAATTCTGGCACTGATTAATGAGAATGTAGGATCTGTAGAATACATGAGGAGTAAATGATGTTATAAATACAAGACCGTTAGAGTGACGCTGCGCTTCAGCAATGCATATGAAAAGATATACAAAGAGGGCGGCATGAACGTGTCTTTAACAAGAAAAAATTGACAATATTTTCTTAGGATGTTTAGTTCACGATTATCATATAGTGACATTAAAGACAAATTTCATTGGCAAGCGGTTAAACGATTGGAACTGGATGTTCAACATGATGATACAACAGTAATTAAAGATATGGTGAAAACTTTTCACGCTTTTTTTGGAAAAATTATTAGAGTCAAGGGGATGCGCTTTATTATATTATATTTCAACACAGAAACACATTTGATGAATGCAATTAATGAGTCGGCAAAGATTAATGACATTAGTCAGGGATTATGGTTAAAAAAAGAAAACGATTTTATTGATGAGAACGGTGAGTTGAAAGAACTCACTAAAAGATCGAACTACAAGAATGACGCCTCAAGGTCTAATGCTTTTTGTATGAAGTGGGAACAACAAGGTGGTCCATCAACACATTCCGCTCTTTCAAGAAGGCACAATCAATAGAGGTAAACAAGGAAGCGTAATGTAGAAACGATGTTAAGAATGGATAAAAATAGAAAAGACTAAAAATATATTAAAATAGTTAAAAAATAAAAAAACAGGTAATAAAATAAATGGTAATGTATTTGGAATAAGTAGTTTTAGATTTTTAGATTAGATTAGTTTAGCATCATAATAGTTAAGTGAATATGTAATTCAGCTTTTGTTATTAAACGACACAACAAAGTAACTAGTCGTAAAAATTTTTTTTAACAATAGCGCTATAAACGGAAAAGAAAGAAAAACTTTAGTTTAGTGTATAGTAATAGTTAGTGTAGCATTTCTTTGGTTATGTTTATTCACGCCTTGGTTAGATATCCCAATGGCTTTAGTATGAAGTAATTCATCATCGAAAGATTTTGAATTACAATGTATTAATGTTGTAATTATTATGTACTATGATGCGTTATATTTACTAATAAAATGACAAAATACGGTTACTAAAAAAAAAAAAAAAAAAAACACGAAATTTCTTTAAAAATATCATCAGGATTTACATTTTCCATTTGACTATTAACTAATATCAATTCTTGTAAGTATTGTTGAAATTTGTCTATTATATTTAAATATACTTGTTCTAAATGTTCACATTTCCATAAGTGTGAATATGTTTCTTTATCTTTAAAGCACATAGGACATTTCCATTTAGAATTATAAACATGTGGTTTTCTTTTAACTAAGTTATCAAGTGTTGGTAATTCTTCTGTCTGAATTTTGACTTTCTTAATTTTAATTGGTATTACAAAATGATTTGATTAGTAACTTTAATTAGCTAATATTAATAAAATTAAAATGTATTAGTGTTCTATAAAACTAAAATTTAAAATATATTTGTGTTTTATAAAACTTTATTTGAATAATATGATACACTTTTTTCAGTAAATTTCTTAGATTATTTATAATTGTTATTTACCATTCCTTTCTTTCTCTTTATTTATTACCTGTATTTTTATAAAATGCAGCATTATACCTTATTTCATTATAAATATAACATTTGTAAGAATCTCTAATTTTAGGTATTTCCTGTGATTTTTCAATACTACTTATATATTTTTGCTTGGATGATCATTTTTTATTAATAATTTTATTCAAATTCTTCACATTTTGAAAGTTTAATTTAGCATCAGTATCACTTTTGTTTATTTAATTTTCATAGGAAGTATTGGATATTTTAATAATAGAAGCAATATTGTTAATGATAGATCTTTTATTAATAATAAATTTTTCATTAATAGTGAAAATAGAAAGACTTGAACTTTTAGTAATAGTGGTAATAATAAAAGTAGTAGAACTCTTATCAACTTTTCAATTAGATTTTTTTCTAATATAATCTTAAAAAAAAGTAGTTATTTTATCATCTTCTTGTTCAACTGCAAGCAAAGTAGCAGTTTATACTAATTTTCATATATGATTATATAAATTTCCTTTATAAATGACCTTTTTAAATATAGAAATAATAATTGGAATTATCATAGGTTTTTATGCTAATAAGATATTCTCATCTGTAAATTTATTATTGTAAACATCAATAATTTTTTTTTGCAAATCTAATCCATTTTGATATATATCTTTATACCATCTTTAAAGTAATTATATTAATGTAAAATATCCCAATTTTTAAATTTATCATAACATGAAAATAATAATGATATATAACTTCTTTTGAGATAAACTTAAAACATAAATATAGATAAGATATTAAAAATATTAGCCTTAATTATTTTTTAAAAAATTTTGAATTACACCTATAAGATTTTATAACTTTAGTTAATTACGGCATATAAAAATTTTGTGTTATAGCACTTTTTTAAAATATTGTACAGTTCACCCTCGCTATAGTGAAGCTCATGGGCTGAAAACTAAAATTCACTATAGTAAGGGAATTCACTAATCACGTATAGTAAATAAAGATAAGATTTTCACTATATTAAAAATCCATTATTATCACGTGATGTATATTATATAGTAATAATTAAAAGTCACGACAACTAAGCTTATTTTTATAAAAAACACATGCAATAAAATAAATTTTCTTTGTTTTTTTGTAAACCTGCGCATAAATACTTTTTATATTTATGTCACTCAAAGATTATTACTTTATTAAGTATGATAAACGCAATACTGCAAATCTGTAATACAATCATTTATAAAGACTATCCTGATCGATTTGGTATTCAATAAAACCTTCACACTCTTCATGATTATAAAAGTCCCCTTCGTTAAAATATAAAGTTTCAAAATTAATATTATCAACGTCCATAATATTATCTTTATCACCTATTCTATTCATATTATTATTATCAACACCATCAACGCTATCATTAGTTTTAACAAATAGGTCTAAACTCATTTGCTTCTTTGAAAAAAAATTATTTCTGTAAACTTCCCTTCTAGCTTTTTTAATAGCTTTAAAAGCACCTTTATCAATAATATCTTGACTTTTATTTTGTTCTAAATAAATAAAAATTTTATCAAACGCGGCCAAAACTTCAGAGCTAGATACTGAAGTAATTTCCCTATCACTTTCATCATCAGAAATGGAGTTATTTTCTTTAAGAATGGCAACTATCTGTTCTTCAGTTAGTGTCTCACCAGTAATTTCATTCTCCTGATCTAATTTAATATATTCTTCAGCGGTAAGGGGATGTATATATTCAAGTTTATCAATTAAATCTTGGATTTCTTTACATTCATTCTCTTCACGTTCATTCTCTTCTATTTCATCTTGAGAATCTGTATCATCTAATGGCAAAATTCCTGCATCTCTCCAGCAGTTAAATATAGTTTGAGAAAGAACTTTATCCCAGGCTGATACCACATACTTAATAGCTTTTTTGATATCAATTGGTGACTTACTATTGCCTGTTTCTTGTTGATAATCAAAGGCCTTGATACGATTTTTAAGGAGCAATTTTCGATAGTGTGCCTACAAATATATAAATATGGTAAGTTTAATTTCGTAATAATTAAAAAATTGCATTAAAATTTTTCAGAATTAATTACCTTAAAACTATTAATAATACCTTTATCACAAGGTTGCAGATGCGCGGTTGTGTTAGAAGGTAAAAACTTAATTTCTATATTAGTCAATTCTACACCTTCGTATAAAGCATGAACAGGAGCGTTATCTACAAGAAGAAGAATTTTTCTTCCTTTTAATCTCATTGTTGCATCAAATTGACGAATCCAATCATTCCAAATGGAGACTTGCATCCAAGCTTTTATATTCCAGTAATATTCTACCGGTAAAGATGACTTGGGTAAGTTTTTCAAGGGACGAGGGTTTTTGTATTTATGAATAAATACTGGTTTAAGCTTTTCTCTACCAGTTGCATTAGAACAAAGAAGAATTGTCACACGATCTTTTGATTGCTTTCGTCCAGATATAGGTTTATCAGAAATCGTTCTTTTAGGTTCCATTTTCCAATACAAACCAGTTTCATCACAATTGAAAACATCATCAAGACTATATCCACGAATCAAATCTTGAAGCTCTTTCCTAAATTCATCAAGTTTCTCAAGTGGTGCACTTGCAGCCTCTCCTTGCTTTAAATAACAAGAAAGATTGTGCCTTTTTTTAAATCCATTAATCCAACCATTACTTCCTTTAAAATTTACAATCTTATATAAAGATGCAAACATCATAGCTTTTTCATGTAAAACTTGATCACTAATATCAACACTATTTTCCAAAGCTTTTAATACCCATAACGTAAGTGCTTTTTCAATTTCTGGAAAAATCACCCTAACTTGTCTTTTACCTTTAGCTTCAGGTGCTTGGGGATCAATTTCAAGCCATTTTTGTGAATTTTTTAACGTACTACTAATACATCCTTCACTAACATCAAATAATTTCGCTAGTTCTTTATTTTTTAGAGAAGGTTCAGTAACTTTTTTAAGACATATTTCATGTTTTTGGGCAAGAGTCAAGGAGGCTCTTTTTGGCAAAGTTTTTTCTTGGGATATTATACTTTGCCTATGGTTATTTGAGTACGCGAAGTTCTTTTATTTTGAGTTTTGGGCATACTAGTGTGTGAAGAAAATAATTAACTAGATCAGGATTACTTTTATTATAATTAAAATAAAATATGATACTTTTCCTTTTTAGTTTAAATCATGAAAAAATTCTAGCTTCTAAAGGCAAATTCGAATTCAAATAAATTATACGTGATAAAAAATTCACTAATTAATTGTGTAACATTTGAAAAATTCGTTATAGCAAAAATCTTTACTATATCAAGGATCATTTTATTAACACTGGTTCCAGTATTTAAATTCGAATTACGAGATACAGAAAATTTATTATAAAATTCACTATATCAAGAATTATTATTTATAAAAAAATCCGTACCTAGACTTTTCTTCATTATAGTGAGTTATTCACTATATAAAAATTCACTATAGCAAGGGTGAACTGTATTAACAATAATAATAAAATATATATATTATTTTTTTCATTTCGTATATCTACAACTTTTTATATTTCTAACACTTTCTTTCATTCTACTTCTTTAATTATAGTTTGAAGTATAATAAAACACATATTATATTAATTTTCAATAAATTCATCTAATGCTTTATTAGGATTTTTCTTTAAATAACAAAAATTATTAATTTAATATATATTGCTTTACATATATAAACCTGTTTACGACTTAATTTTTTATTATTAGGCTCAATTATAATTATGTTAATAAAAAAACATTGAGATATTTTATTCTGTTTTAATTATATTGCTAATAGAATTAATAAGATATTTATTAAAAGTTTTTGTCATTATAGGAAACAAATCTTGTTCAGATATAAAAGTAGTATTTGTTATGGTGAATTATTTGTATTTATGAAATTGATTTCACTACTTCTCTTCTTTTAATCTTAATCAATCTGATTAGCAAATTCATATAATAAAGTACTTTTAGCTTTTAATTGTTGTTTTATAATTCAATTATAGCCTTCAATTCTTG